TTCACGTCGGCAACTTATCGGCAGTCCCCTCTGATGCCTGATGCACAGCAAGCTTCTCTTTCCACAAAGTTCAGCAAAGTCAGGCGTCCCTGAACAGCGCTGTCCGAGGGGTACCGGGAAGGACCCTGGAATGCAGTTCTTGGGCTCCTCGAGGTCCACTGGCCCACTGATCCAGGCAACAGCTCACTAATCCTTTTCACAGAGATGTATCTTCTTTTTGAATGGTTTCTAGATATTCTAGCCCATTAAAAGCTTTTGAACGGTTCTGATAACGTACAACCACTCAGATTTCTTTTACTTTAACTGTCTTTAGACTGACCAATAGCAGTACAAGCCTTGCATTCCTTTGATAAGGTAATTTTAACTACACCACAAGGCCTTACTATACTTCAAGGTTTTGTTAAATTTACTAGGCCTTACTTTATACAAAGCCTCACTACATCTTAAACTTTAATTAGGCTTTTAGCAACAACATATAGCTTAATATCTAAACAAATACAGCAAAACACTTGGTCTAATCTTCATAGGGCCTTCAGCAAGCACCTTTATCACACAGGCACACTTTTCAGCTGCCACAGGGGGTTGGTGGGCGCTGGGGAGAGCCCAGGCCCAGGCCGTGTCCCCGCTGCAGAGGGAGGGGAAATCCCCCCCGGCCCTGCCGGGCCAAGCTGAGCAGGGGGCAAATCCCTGCCTGCCCCCCAAAGGCAGCGTGAGCAGCGGTTATTAATGAATTCCACATCCTAAAGACAGAGAATTTCATCAGCTATGCATAGGTACTAATTAATATGTAAAATAATATTCCACATCAAGTACAGACCCCTCAATGAAGGTCAGATTAGAATGGGATTATGGGGCAAAATACTTCTTGGGCCACCCCAAATTTTGTGGTGATGCCACTGGGGAACTGTCCCAAAGACCCCTGGCCACAGTCCCGCCCGGCCCAAAGCACGGTTTGGCCGTGCCAGGCTGCCAACTGACACCACCCCCCTAGACACTGTGCGAAGTATCTGGATTTGAATAAGGAACTGGAATTTGGGATGGGATTATAGCTAGAAATCCTTCTTGGGCCACCCCAGACCACATCTCTGTGCCACCGGGGGACACTGCTGGACATCTCTGACCGAGACTTGCCAGGCCTAAGGTGAGGTTTGGCCGTGTCAGGCTGCCAAATGACAGCACCCCGGCCACTGTGCTAAATGAATGGACCTGAATAAGGAATTGCATTTTGGGCAGGGATTATACCCAGAAATCCTTCTTGGGCCACCCCAGACCACATCTCTGTGCCACCGGGGGACACTGCTGACTGCTGGACATCTCTGACCGAGACTTGCCAGGCCTAAGGTGAGGTTTGGCCGTGTCAGGCTGCCAAATGACAGCACCCCGGCCACTGTGCTAAATGAATGGACCTGAATAAGGAATTGCATTTTGGGCAGGGATTATACCCAGAAATCCTTCTTGGGCCACCCCAGACCACATCTCTGTGCCACCGGGGGACACTGCTGGACATCTCTGACCACAGACTTGCCCGGCCCAAAGCGCGGTCTGGCTGTGCCAGCCTGCCTACTGTAAGCAGCCCAGCACAGTGCAAAGTATATGGATCCGAATAAGGAACTGGATTTTGGGCTGGGATTATAGCTGGAAATCTGTCTTGCACCACCCCAGACCACACCTCTGTGGCACCAGGGGACTATCCTGGACATCTCTGACCACAGACTTGCCCAGCCCAGAGCATGGTTTGGTTGTGCCAGGGTGCCAAATGACAGCACCCCAGCCACTCTGCTAAGTATCTGGTCCTGAATAAGGACCTGTTATTTGGGCTGGGATTATACCCAGAAATCCTTCTTGGGCCACCCCACACCACACGTTGGTGCCACCATGGGGTGCTTAGCAGAGTGGCTGGGGGGTGCTGTCACTTGACAGCAAATTTGGGGTGGCCTGAGAAGTATTTTGCCCCATAATCCCATCCTAATCTGACCTTCATTTAGGGCTCTGAACTTGATGTGGAATATTATTTTACATATTAATTAGTACCTATGCATAGCTGATGAAAATCTCTTTCTTTAGGATGTTGAATTCATTAATAACAATTTTTATTGGGTCTAGATTAGTTTTGAAAAAGGAACCGGGAGCCGGGAATAAGGACCTGGGAATAAGGAACCGACTTCAGCCTCATGCCCAAACCTGCTTTGCAACTTCAGAGCCTGGGTCCACGCCCTGCTCTTGGCAGCAAGACATAAAGCTGCCCTTCCTCTTCTCTGCGCAGCTGCCAGGTACCAGCCAGCAGCTCCCATGTCGCGCCCGCAGCCCTTTCCCCCCGTCGGAGCATGCTCGGCTCCCTCGACCTCCCCCCCATCGACTCCCTAGTTGCCCCCTCTGCCTCTCTCCAGCTTCTCCAGGGGCTTTTTCCAATGTGGAGCCCAGAGCTGCTCCCCATCCTTTGACGAGCCCCGTCTGTTTTGCTCCACTCTTGTCAAGAGCCGTCTGGAAATGCCCCCCTGCCCCATCGCTCTGCCCCTGCTCTGGAAGCAGAGATGTCTGTGGCCTGCTCTGCTGCACGTGGGCATCGGACCAGCCCCCGCTGCCAGCAGCTGACGCCCCTCCGGCCTCCCCCGCTGGCTGCCCTCCTTCGGGGTCCCTGCCCCGGTGCCCCCCAAAAGGCTTAACCTCCTGTAAGACCCCCACACACTTGCGGCTGTGCGTTCTGGGGTCATGTCGCTGGGTATCTTGTGTTTGCTGTATATTATTGTGCCTTTTCTGGGACTGGGAGAGGATCACATCCCCTCCCGCTCATTGTGCCCAGACCGGTGTCTGAAGATCCCCCCAAGGAATCGGTGCGACCAGTTTGGCGGCTCCGGAGCGCCGGTCGCCTCTGAATTCATTGGTCTGCATTAGCCGTGGTCCATGCTGCTGCTTCTCACTGGGGCCCTGTAGTGGTGTCAGGACACGCAGCTCGAACAGGGAACAGAGAGCAGAGCAGGGGTCAGGCAGGGAGCAGAAAGCAGAGCAGCCAATGGGGCTGGGAGCACAGGACAGAGAGCAGAAAGCAGAGCAGAGGATAGGGCAGGGAGCAGAAAGCAGAGCAGCCAACATGGCTGGGGGTGCCCTAATCCCTGCAGCCCAAGGAAAGCTGTCCTCTCTCCCCCTCGTGGCATCCCTTCGGGCGTGTGGGGCTGCCCGAGGGGCCCGTGTTGCCCCCCAGCGCGTGGGGCGTCTCCGGCTGCAGCGAAGCCTCCCGCTCCCCCCGCGGGCCGGGTGCGCCAGGACCCGGGCAGCGAATCCAGGCACGCGTGCCGGAGCCTGTGGAGACCCGTGGGCTGGGGAGAGCCCGGCCCTGCCTCCGTGTGTGCGATTGCAGGGATCCCACCCCCCCAAAGGGCTTCCCCTCTCTGGGCGCGTGTACTGCAGGGCTGGTGACATGTCCGTGCCGGCCCATGTTATATGTAGCTGGCGCCCCGGCGCGCCAGGTGCTGTGCAAACACCTGGCCCCGGCTTGCTCCCGAGAGGGGCAGAGGGCAGCTGGGGTAGCAACAAGGGAGCAGGGAAACCGAGTCACGGCCAGGGACCATTGGCAGATGCCAGGCAGAGGAACGGGGGGGCTGGAGCAGTGGGCCATCAAGGCGGAGGGGCGTTCACACCTGGGAGTGGAGAGAGATTAGCAGGAAGCAGGGAGTGACACTGAGCCCTCAGCCCGTGCAGGCCCCTCTGCCGCCATCCCCCCAGGGGTCTCCGGCCCGCTGGGCTTGGGTCTGTGAGCCCCGTGCAAGGCA